TATTTATAATGTATGTTCTCCATATGTCATCAAAGGTTACCTCCCACAGTCCCAAACAAAACCAGGTAGGTCATGTATTTTCCACCTAAATATACGCTAGTGGGTGTTGTGTGACTGCTGTAGGCAATGCCAAGTTCTTCTAGGGCAGAGACAAATGTGATTGGTTATCGGTATAAAGCCATATTTAAAGGGGTAAGCTCAATAAATTACGTTCAGGTCCTATACACTGGCCTTGTTTTGCTCTCACGCTATCTGACTCTGGTCCATGCAGATCTTTAAAATGGAACTAGACCCACCAATTTAACCGTGTCCTAAAACTGATACTTTAAAGGCATGCCAACTGCCAGGTTGCCACTTATTTCAGCTCTCAACCAAACTTTCAAGCCCTCAAATAGCTGATGTCATAACTGATCACATGTGCAGCACCATGGTAACTGCAATCCAATTAGAGGCTAAGATAACACCTTCCCTAGCTGTAAAGGATAGAGGGGTGTAGTCCCACTTTAAGAACAGGATATCTTGTATAGGTTAGTATATGCTTGTCACTATTGAAGGTGATAAACAAAGGTGCATGTCACTAGTGCAGAATATTCTGAAAACATACCAGCACATCTTGCGTGAGGCTGAAATCTTTAGATTTTACTGAATAACTGTGTTTTCTAAAGCGAGCTCATGTTGCTTCTTAACAAGACATCCTTTGCAGTTTCAAAACATTGGCGTTCTGCTGCCCTTAATAGATTCAGCTTCACAGCAGAAAAGCCTGGCAATGTTTGTGTTCTGGATCCTAATCAGCGCCATGCTACTGAAGCTTCAGCCCTCATATTCACCCGGCTGTAATCTGTGGGGAATGGTATATCTATCTTCTTGTCAGATCTCTGTGCAGATCTTCCCGATGCATCTATGGGCCCTGCATATTATTGTGAATTCACTCAACTTGCCTACCGAGCCACGCATGTATCTATAGTGACAACAGAACCAGCTGACCAAGTCTACTACAGGAAAGAAAACATTTTTCAATATAAATGCATGGCACAGGAATGCCATTACATGACTATAATCAATTAATATTTAATCACAGCATGGTGACATTTAATATGCAGCAGAGATGGAATGAATGTTTCTCTTCTAGGCACAAATGAGACTACAACAACCACAAGAAATGTGTCGCTCTGTGGAAAATCTCACTTTTTCACAGACATATTTCTTTGTAGATGACTAAGTCACAAATGATTTTCCGACTCCAAGAAATGTTATTACAAATCAGGAGTTTCATCTAATTTAGAATAATTAATGAGACAGTAACATTAGGACAGACAATAATGTTCCTCTGAGGATGAAACTTAGCAAACCTTGCAGATATATTGCTGCAATTATGCAAGCCATATTATGCATGAGAGACATGGCCAGCAAAGTAAAACCCGGGCACTTGCGAGCATATGCCCAAAGCCTTTGTTGAAAGACAGAACCGTTAAGGAACCCTGTAAGAGTTATGCATTAATTACCTCAGGAATATATTAGTCACATAAATGTATGAGATTTTAACAAATTGCGGTTGGGATCGCATGTGCTTAATCAACAGCGTGACACACAGAACATTCTAATTATTGAATACAGAGAAGTTATATGAACAGAAACATGGAGATGTCCCAAAATACTTCACTCCTTTCATCTTATGAAAATCTAAAACATACCCAATAGTTCAATATCAGTACCAAGGTCAGTGTAAGAAGACTCCTTTATAAGACCTAGAGGGAACTTATTTAGTCTAATCATGTTATATAGTGCCTTAAGAAGTACATGGCATCAGTCACATACGCCTCATTCATTCCTAACAGTACTGGCCAAACTTTAGGTAGGAGCCCTACAACCTACTACTATCCTTTTGAAGTATGGAAGAAAGCCCATGTAGATATGTAAAGATCATACAACCTCCTTGCAGATTGACAAAGTATATTTGTTGGTACGGTCAAAGTATGTTGCTGGTATGGTCTACATCAAAAGCTTGATTTAGGATGCCTACCGTATATGTGAAGAATTCATAAAATAATAATCTGCTGGTTCTGACTATTTGCAGTGGAGTGCGAGAACATGAAATCTCAGATTCTCCAGTGTGTTCAGACTTTGGATCCATTTTTATTGAGCATAGGACCAAAGAAAAGCTGAGATGGGCATACACCACGCTACGAGCCAAAGCAGTAGTCACATGAAACTCTTACACACCTACACAAGCCACCATATTCCTAAATGAATGTTATCATGGATTAATAATCCTAGACTTTATACCCCTGAAACACACTTCTATCACTGTGCTGTAACTTGTCCAGGAATGGTAGCAGAAGATGCTCTAAAGAGGGATTACAGGTAAGGTATGTGGGGGTAGCCCAGCATTTATCAACCTTTCTTTAGCCATAGCACCTTTTAAACGTATGGAAAATCTTGATGAAAATCAGTCTAAAATGTAAAGAATTAAAAATGATGTGCGGTGCCACTCCCTACTCCCCAAACCAATACTAAACCCTTATCCTAGCTAGGATGGGGGCTTCCCATTAGGAGCCCCTCCATCATATCAGATCAGAGTTCTCTCTTTACCATCAGAAGCGCCCCCTGCTTCACATCAGGGGTCCCCTTCACATCAGAGTCCACCATTTAGCAACATTTTCAAGGCACAAAGCCAGAAGGCACTCTGGTATAGAAGGGCTGGGCTAGCCATTAGATAACGTACAGTGCGAAGCCCCATTATTTCAGTGTTCTGTCTCTTACAATTTAATAGTTTCAAAGTCACAAAATAATACCAAACATTTGAATTTCACTCCATGCCACGCCCCCATTTACCTAATGAGAATCAGTCTGTCTTTTTCAGATGGGTGATCATCCAACCATTGCGAGTAACGCGCTACGGACCATTCAGCTCTCTGCAGAAAACGGCACACAATGCTACATGATTACCAAATATACAGACAATTTCTGATAAGTATGAGAAATGTGAATGATTCTGAAACTGCTCTGAGTGGACGTGCCTGGCTATATATAGATCATTGCATTAAAGATCCATTTAGAAGAGATTTGTCAGCCGTGATTACAGGTTTATCTTTAAGATGAGCTTTAGAGATAGTTGGAATGTAAAAAAATTAATGATCAGTGCTGTAAAATTCTACATACAGGCCGGACACCAAGAAGTCAGTCTGTTTCAGCCTCATCTTAACTAATCGAATGTGTTCTATATTTAGAATATGGCCTTGCTGTGGCAACCAAGAGCCAGAAGAGACGGTCTCCACCGTACAGCTGTCAACTAATGCAGTTCAGGAGTTTTATTGCTTTGACTTTCATAGATTATTCTGAAACAAATTGATGTATATAACCTACTGGTGAAATATTCATGCTCAGGCTCTTCCCTGTATTAGTGTATATGGCACATATGATAAGGTGCTCCTTTTCTATATAGTGTGTTATTTGTAGACATCTCTAGACACATTGCACAGATGTGATGTTGATAGGATGCCGTGCTATTTATTCAGTACATCAGTAGTGGGAATAAGTGTTACCACACAAAATGTATTACATAACAGCACTTCGTAAGGTGCCATGGTATGATGCAGGTTATCCCTGCAGACATAAAAATAATAAGTGAGGGACAAGTTGGACTCCGAAACATGTTTATATTGTGGGTGTCATAGCTGTATGATACAGTGACCTTACCTGATATGGTGATTTTAGTTCTGGTGGAGCCCTTGTGAAGAGGAATTGAAGGATGACACTGAAGGGGATAATATCTCCTACAGATGTGCTGTTGGCAATATGTTCACTAGTCTGAAACAGTAATGGTCTATAAAAAAAAAAGGAGTGACACCACATTATTACTGCCTTACATATTTTAATATGTATATGTCCAAGCAAACCATACTTAAACGCTGAACTCTAGGCAGCTATAAAAGATTGCATGTAGTTCTGTAATCATTAAGCCATCATTAAATGTATTTTCTAAATCCAAGCAGTGTAAAGCACCTGAATGTGACCTGAGATTCCCTACTAATGTTCATAAATGTGCTGATTACCGGAGTTCTTTTTATGTGCTAATTTGCAGACTAAATAAAAACAATATTGTGCAACAATATATATTTATTTACAATAAAATCACTGCAAATTAATCATCAAAATATTATTGGTGATAATAAATAATAAGGTTCAAAATATGCTATACAATTTCTCAACAAGAATAATATTTAGAAATTAAAACCACAGGATATTATTTCAAATATTAGCAAAACAGAACCATCTCTCTCATGAAAGGCAGCGAGACTCTCAGTAGGATGTGATGACAAACAACTGTGCAGATTTACATGCGTCTTCTCCCAGCAAAACAGATGTTTAGAGCTCAAAATCCTTACTACACATGAACTAATATGCAATACTTTTCTTAAAGGAGAACTATGGGGTTAGGGCTTTTCCCCATAGTTCTCCTAAGGGTAACGGGAGGACACAAACTAGCGTCCTCCCGTCACCCAAAGCTCAGTATACCGCGAGCAGCCGGGACATTACTGTCTGGATCCACCCAGCTGCGTGAGTGACAGCGGGCTCTGCCTATCTAGAGGCAGAGCCAGCTGTACCCGCCCCCTCCCCAGTCCGTTCCGCCAGTCAGCGCTGGAGGATCGGACAGGGGAGGGGGAATCCCTGCAGGGAGCAGTGACTGACAGTCACGGCTCTCTGCAGGGACAGGATCAAGAAGTGAGCGAGCGATGGTATGTGTTCGCTCACTTCCCGATCTATTGAGCCGACCTGTGACAGTCTCATTGTCACAGGTCGGCTAGAACTATGAGGCTGAGTGATTTTCACTCGCCTCATAGCTCTCCTTTAAGCACCGGATTAGCTAATTAGTCTCAAACCTATCTAAAGTCAAAGACATATATATATATGCTCCCTTGTCACCTATACATGGAGAAGACTAAAAACAAATGAATGTTTTCGGTGAAGCAGCATTCTAGCTGGGGGAGGAAGGGTCTTCTTGGAGTTCAGACATTCAGAGACTATCAATCTGACTCCATAACATATGGCCACATTAGCCAGACACTGTTATTCCACACAAATGAAATACATATTATTTTACTGAATATTAAGTCATAAAATTGTAAAGCTGTGTAGACTTTGTTGTTCATGATTTATATATACTCTGCCTGTTGCTGCCCTGCCAAGTGTCTGAACTCTTACAATGTCTTTGAGTTCCCTTTCAACCATATCATGAAGCACAGAGCCCTGCAGGTGTTTACCTTGCTCTAGTTATAGTACCCTGTCATGTGGTACCAATGTGCTCTCTCAGCACACAATAATCTAAATAAGGGGGGGGGAATATAATTCTGGTCAAGTCAGACTGCAAATGTATGATAATTTATGCCGAATATTCAGATTTTGACTGGTTCTCTTTAAAGCTTCTGGATATATAAACACTGATGACAGTGCTGCCTGGCAGACTCCAATCTGCTCCTGCATTGAACATGTAATCTCAGCTACAGTCATCTCTTTCAAGCTAAACACTGCTCCCTGAAATAACTGCCTGCACAGGCAGCACCAGCATAAAGCCTGCAATGAACAAAACAGACTGATTGTGTGCTTGAATTGTAAATTGGTTCATTTTTAGCCTCAATTCAAACAAATATGCATTTTAATCTGCAAGATTTCTGTGTATCCAACTGAATATAATGAATGGAAATGAATGAAAAACTGCTCATTAGTGTGCCAACTACAAAAGAATGGCAAAGTGTGCAGCCGTACAGTTTTATATTCAGTAGAGTATAACTTTCCATTTCCTGAAATCACTGGAAAGTTTATAAAGCCTTTTTCCCTAAATAATAGGACAAAGAGAGCTCGATCTGTAACTGAATATGTACAAACATTCTGCCAATTCACTGAAAAACTCCAACCTGGAACTTTGGGAAGCGGGCAACGGCAATGAAAAGGCTTAATACAGGCTGTATCACTACCTCTGTATGCAAGATAGAAGATCAGCTTGTAGAAACAAATAGTCATTTTTATTCATGGATTAGAAGCATACAAGAGGGTCTTCTCATCCTTCTTTTGGACCCTTTAAATAATGGTGTTAGTATTACATTTTGCATACTTGAATAGGGAGGTGACCACATATATAACTCCTGGCGAAATCAAACGTATTTGGAAGTCACTAAGGTACACTTTACTTGCATACTGAATGGTCAGTAGAGAGGAGCAAGTCAGTTCATAAAAGTAATCTCAGTGAATCTCAGTGGAAATTCCCTAAAAAGATGGAAAATGGTGAGATCACCAGAGCCAGTTATTTTCTTCCTGCTCTGCCTGTGTAAACAGCATTTCCTATTGATTTGGACAGAGTAATATCCTGACATATACACTGCACAGGTGCAAGGAGATACATGCTATTAGTAGGTGACCTTCAGTGTAGCAGACTTCTATATGAGAGCAATGTAGACATTACCCTGGCCTTTTCTTAATTACCCTCCACATAAAGCAGGAATGGGCTTCTGAGTCTGGTAAAGGAAATTACAAATGATAGTATTAAGTAAAAATACAGTACAGGAAGAACAGAAATGCTACTAATAGCGATACATCAAATTGTATCTATTCCTGTCTTGCTTCAAACATACTCTATGACCATAAGTTTATCATTGGTAGCCAGACAAAAGTACCATTTTGCAGATTTTTCAAATGACCGCAGTAGTCCACCGGAGATGCTTACTTACTATTAAATAGGACGCTCACCTAAATGATCTTAACAGCCTGTATGATCTTCCCAGATCAGCCACTCTTCTGCACAAGGGAGCCACTGCTAATTCCATCTACAAAATAAACAGAAGTGTAAGAATATGGGGTTAGAAAGATCCTTGTGGCACCATGTTATATGGGTAGCAGGACTTTGTATGTCTTGATAATGAGCTCTGTGGAAATGTTGGGATTGAAATGCTAATTCTTTGACTTATCTGTTGCAAAACCCGTAAATGACTCTGTTCCAGTGACGTGCAGTACCTCTTGCTCCAGGTGAGGCATTCCTCCGCCCCGATGCCGGCTGAAGCCCCGCCCGCCAAAGCTCCGCCCCTGCTGGTCGAAGCTCCACCGCAGCCGGACGAAGTCCCGACCCCAAGCTAGTGTAAAGGAGGAAGGGGGGAGTCGCTCTGTCCCTCACTTGCCCCTCACCGCTGAGGCTCCATGACAGGTTACACAGCGGGGAGGATTTCCCTGTTAAGATATCGATCTGAATGGAGAAAAAACTGTCAGCTTCAGACATGAAGCTGACATCTTTTTCCTCCATAATTCTAGGTGAGGCTCTTCCTCACCTGACCGCACGTCCCTGCTCTGTACCTACTTTGGATTTGTATGGATTTTTTTGTAGGTAAGCAACCAGCCATTTACCTTACAAATAGAGGTCGGTGGCTACCCCTGGGACTATATGAATTATAATAAAATATTTTTAAACTTATTCAATCAATCTTGGATTATACACAACCCTGTGCACATCCAGGAAGGTGACACACTTATTACCATGTTTAGCTTTGATGTTTCCTAAGTAATCTCTTTGCTTCCAGCCAATGAATTAGCATCATCACCTCTGTCCAATGAGCATATTGGTGAGCCAGGGTGACCTAATGACTGCTAACAAATCCAGTCCACATAACAGAAACCTTGTCAATGTCAACTATTATTACTAGTTAAAATAAAATCACAGCATTCAGATGGATGAAATACATGTGTTTTGCTTTAGATTTTAAGATATTTCCAATTATGTTGTGCTGCTCTGGGCATTCACACCCTCCAACACATAATATAGTCCCAGAATGACAATACTGAAGTATTAAACTCTGTGGAATTTGGCCACCGACACACAAGGCTGCTTAGTGGACTATTTAGGAGCATCACTACTCTAGTGAGGATCCTTCTATGCTCTCCCTCTACTGTACGCTGTAAGGTAGAATACAGAAGGTAGAAGAACTTACAACATAATCGGGCATAAGACAGAATATTGAAGGTGGAAGAGCTTACAGTCTATTAGTGTATAGGGAGGACTACAGAAAGAATACAAGTTTACAGTCTATTACACTAGATGTACTTATCTATTGTCTATGAGTTTACATTACAGAGACACCCCCATTATTATTATACATAACACAACAAACAACCAGATGGGCACAAAACAACTTCATGCCCAATGTTTTTTTAAGAAAGAGTTAGGTTTATATATCTTGCCTGCATTCAGATCTTCCCAAATGTCTGGAAACCAATACCAAGCATTTAAATGTATCTATATCGTCTTGCTATTTGACAGATGGTTTTATAATGAATAGGCTAAACTCTTGTGGTTTCATTTAGTGTAAATTAAAATGTCAGATAAATGTCAAAGAATTTTTGATTAACCCACAGAATGCAGGTCAGACTGATTAAACGCTGTAAAAAGGTTACAAATGAAACAAATACAGTAAAGACAGACCTGGGTTCAATTTATGGACAGACACACAGAATATCCAACTGAGATGTGACTTTTATACTTTCTGATGGAAGACAAAATGCTTCTATTTCATGGATTGAGGTAAAAGAAAAGTGGCCTAATTTTTCCTTATTTTATTAAATGCAGTGACATCATACTTCTGCTCAAGACAGAACCATATAGTATTCCTGTATGTGGTTTTCTAGGAATGGAGTTTTGCATCCGCAAGGTAGAGTTTGTTACTTTAGTCCTTATGCACCGTTGTATTTCTTTTATGAAAATAAGTTTTTCCCCAGCTGACTCATATCTGATTGTCCAGGATGAAAGACGCTACTGAAAAAATAAACATGTAGGCAGTTATGAGCCAACAGCTTTTGTTCCCTGTGAATTCAAATACGCAGATATGTTAAGCTGGGTGGCAAAATATTTGGATTTTTGAACCGTAAAATCAATTTTTGGGACTTAATTCAGGTATACAGGATTCAGAGAGAATTGGATTACATTGCTGCCTACAACAGGATTTGGAGAGTGGCAAAAAAACAAAACAAAAATACTTACCAGTCCGCTGTAAACCCTCTTACTCCCAGCCTGCCCCTGTTTGGTAGAAAAGCATCTGGAGCAATATTACTGCCACCGAGTGGTGGGTGTCCTTCAATGAACTCCAAGAAATGGATTTTACAGTAAGTACAAAAAAAACTTTTTCCTTCTCCTTTACTGAGGGACACAGGATTCAGGTACAATTGGAACATCAAAAGCAGACCCACTTAGGGGTGGGCAACAATAGAAAACCAACAGGTCCACACAACAACAGAACTTAGGGTCAAAATAAATCTGAAGGACCATACTCCCAATACTGGCATCAGATGGGGCCTGAACATCCACCTAGTAAAACTTGAATGTGAACAGAACACACGAGGTGGCAGCCATGAAAATCTGGGCAACAGCTGCCTGATGGTGAAAAGTGCAAGATGCACCCACAGAAGCTGGTTCCCCTACAAAGACCATCAGTGATGACAAAGAGAGAATCAGCCTTTCTTAATGAAGCAGTGCCTGTGAGATAGACATATAGAGCATGCACTACATCCAGACATAAATGGAAGTCTCCTTAAAGCACTAGAGCCAGGGAGAGGGACAGAAGAACAATGTACTGGTTGAGGTGAAAGGCCAAGATTAACTTAGGTAGGAAGGAGGCTCAAGGCCTCCACACCACCAGGTCCTTATGTATGACCAAAAATGGTTCTTTACAGGACAAAGCCACCGACTCAGACACACGCCTCACAGAGGTGATAGCAACATGGAAACCAACCTTGTGAGTACAAGTGGAAAGGGGAATAGCCTTCTTAGGTGTAAAGGCAGTTTTAGAAGCGCTGAGAAAACCAAATTCAGATCCCACAGAGTCACAAGTGAACGCACACAGGGGAAGCGACATGAGAGACACCTTGAACAAAGGACATAATAAAAAAATAGGTGGCTAGTGCTTCCTGAAAAAAAATCACAGGTGCCAAGATTTAACAGCCTTGACGTTAAAGCTGGCAACCGTCATCAGGTTAACTTACTAACTTTTTGAACATGTTGAGAGACAACTTCATGGACCAGATGGTGGAGGTCCCAACTAGAAAAAATGCCATCCTAGATTTAATCATTACTAATAACATCTGGGCCAAACCAAAGCTATGAGTATAACCAGATTGCCCTCCGCTAGGGTCCTGGGGAGCAGATGAGGAAGCAGTTTCAGGTAAAGAAAGGCATCGATCAGGCTGTATTGATTCCACGGAGCCACCCTAGCATCCACTGCTTTCGCTAGAGAATATCTGTACCTGAAGACCAGAGGATCTCTGTACTAGTTTGTAGTTGAGCCTGAATGCTAGGAGAAGGTTTTAAACAAATTTGGACTTTATTCTTATCCCAGGTTATCTTCGGGCAAGCAGGGCTAAATGTACAGCGGGGAAGCCACTGCTCATTTAGTA